CATATCAATTTTTTTACATGTAGTTGGTTTTTTGTTTAGTATAATTGTTATGTATTTGTAAAATATATTAAATTTTGATGACCCACAATTTTATACTTGGCTATTAAATTTTCCAGTCGGCCACCAATAATTTGAATTTAGTTGCTAATGGCCAAAGGAAAAAAATTTAAACTATGATAGCTGCAAATCTTTAGTTCCAATTATATGTAATGGTTTATTTGTATTGGATCTTCCTTATAAAATAAATGATATTCTTATAATGCTTGCCACTAAAAAAAAATTTTCAAGCAATAATTTTAGCAGAATATTAATTAGTACATACATGGCCTGTTTGAAACATGAAAAATTGCAATGTCATCTGTGTATGCCAATATACTGACGCTGTTGTATGTATTCATTTTGTTGTTTTATAAGGCAGCAATAATCATGCTCTGTTTACGCAATCGAACATTTCCAAGTTACCACTGCATTCTGTGATGCTATTAGTTAGAAATGTTTGATTGCACGCACAATTAAAATGGGATTGTTTTTGTAAGATATCGCTTCTAGTGGGATCTTCATCACATATAGCTGTGGAATCATAGCCCTATGTTGCCAACCGCATTATTTACGTGACAGACTCTGGCCGGACATACAACAACAAAAATAAAAACAAGACATCTGAATGAAATTGTTAGGGCAAAATTCATTTGTATGTCGCACCAAAGAGCTACGGAACCGCAGCTACATACATCACATATTGATCACATGATTTTGAAAGTTGCATATACCCATATTTTATGCCATACATATACATATATTGTAAAAAATGCAAATAAATAACTTATGAGCAATATATTTTCCTTGATGTATTCATGGCTCAATGCATTTTTTCCATTTTTAATAGTTTTTTAATTGTTTCCTATTTTTCTTTTTATCCAGTGTTACTTGTCATGGTGTTCATTTCAACATGTCAATGTCAATACAGTTGAAGTTAAAGTTCTATTTGTTTGATTTTTTTCTTATTTTTGATATTTAACCACAGTCCCTCTACAAGGGAGGGACTGTGATTTAATATTACAATACAACTACGTCCCCCATACACACAGACATATTTGAAGGTTCACGTTTGATAATGCTCCAGTCAATGTCAACCCCGACCCCTCCCACCTCGGGCGATACGGGACAAATGTGGGGCATTAGACAGGGTTTACCGCCAAACTGTGCCCGTGGAGGTGGGGTAATAGCCGTGTTTCGTGTCCCGTCATCACTAGCATCGCTAGTACTCTGCTGATAGCAAGCATGGCGGACAGTCGCGATTTGTGGAAGAAATGTGGGGGTTTGTTTTGGTTGGGGATTTGCCTATCCATCTTGCCCCAGGAGGTGGGGCATTTCGCAAATTTTACACAATAATTTCCAAATCCCCAACTAAACCCCGAGGTGGGGAGGGTGGGGGTTGACATTGACTGATGGAGCATAAGGTGGACATTTTTTTTTTTTTTTGCAAGTATTTTATTCACATACGTCTGACAACAATGTTGTGTTCACATTTCGGCCAATTTAATTACATTGTGCACTCGCAGCGAATTGTCA